ATGAGCATGTGGGAGGTGAGGATCTTTAATAGGATGACTTTTTTACCTTTTTACAATAAAGTAACACACATTCCACCGCATGTAGATCCTTCTACAAAAGCTCAAGAACTACGTGCACTGAGGCATTTAGAGGGCATTTTCATGTGAGGGGGGGAAAAAAAAGAGGCCGTTCTCATACTAAGCTGGGGAATCTGAAATTTTCCTGTGGTTATTTGAAAAAGTTGCATTCGGGGGGCGCCTGGGTAGCTCAGTTGATTAAGTGCCTGCCTTCGGCTCAGGTCATGGTCCCAGGGTCCTGGGATCAAGCCCCGCATTAGGCTCCCTGCTCAGCGGGGAGTCTGCTTCTCCCTCTACTCCCCACTTGTGCTCTTTCTAGCTGTCTCTGTCTCTCTCGCTCTCTCTCAAATAAGTAAAATCTTTAAAAAAGAAAAGACAAGAAAAAGTTGCATTTGATTACATAAAACACACCTAAAATCTTAGGTCCGATATTTATACAGAATGAATGAATGATCAACTTTCTGAATGTAAAAACATCTCATTAAGAGTTTGGTTAAGGGGCACCTGGGTGGCTCAGTCGATTAAGCCTCTGCTCTGAGGATCGGAGCCCCACGTCAGGCTCCCTGCTCAGCAGAGAGCCTGCTTCTCCCTCTCCCTCTGCCCACCCCCCTCCTTGTGCATGCACACTCGTGCACACGCTCTCTCGCTCTATCTCAAATAAATAAAATCTTAAAAAAAAAAATAGTTTGGTTAAGATGCAGCTCTAGTTTTCCAAACAGCTTTGGATTTTTGCCAAGTATAAGAGAATCAAGTGACTTGCTCAAGGTCATTTGGTCAAATGAGGTGGGATTAGAATTACTGGTTCCTGCCTTCCAAAAGCCAGCCATAACTCAAACTTTTCTTGGAACTAAGCAGACCAAAAGGGAAAAATCGTTCCCCATTTCCTTTTCTCAATAATCAAAGGGCAAAAGAAAAATCAGTTTAAGTGGCAGAACTTCAGTTAATAAAGTTTCATCAATACATAGACTACTACCTCTAACCACGCACAGGCACCTCTCTCAAAATCGGTAACTGTTTTACCAATTTGCAAAGGTCAGTAACCTCTCTACAGTCTTCGCATCTGAGAGCACCCTAAACTTATTAAGATGTTTTCCAATCAGCACTTCGTATGTATATCCATAAACAGTTCACTTATCTTCTAAAAGACCTGGTCAGACTGGAATATGGATGTACTCTAAGCTGTTAGATTCCTTTTTTTTTTTTTTTAAGTTAAAGCATCATAAATAAGTTCAAAGTTTTCTTCAGAACTCTGAAAGGAATAGGGATATTTCACCAGAACAGGTAAAACAGTGATTAAGTGAGAATCAGTCAGGCTGTGGCTGGGAGAGAGCAAGAGAGAGGAGGCACGGATGCATCTTCATCAACACATCAGCTTCCTCTTCTATTTCAAATCCACCATCTCCATCACCGTTTCTTTCTTTTTGTTTTTCTCTTTTTTTGAAAGTGGGAGTGGAGCCCAATGCGGGGCTTGAACTCACCACCCTGAGCTCAAGCCCTGAACTGAGATCGAGTCGGACGCTTAACTGACTGAGCCACCCAGGCACCCCCACATCACACTTCTGCCCCATCCTTTTCATTTCTACTTTCAAACTGCTGATATAAGACACTACTTTTGAATTAGTAACAAAAATGTAATGTCCAGTGAAGTCATACTTTGAAATCACTAACTGGATTGGGATAGAGATATTAAAATTAGCTGAGAACACTCTGTATTTGCTACAAACATACCGTAGTCATATTTAGTTAACACTCCTCGCATCCAATTTTCTAAGTCAAATGGCACCATTAGCCCCATTTCGGATGACCCTCAAATCCAGGAAAATTTCCCTTTGCTCTAAGACTATAGGTCACCAATATTAAGAGCTGGCATTAGATCTGAAAAATATTAAGTCAATGGGCAGGCTGACATTGTGGCTGGATTATATCATATATGAACAACTTTAAAACATTTAGAACTAACATGATTTTTCTCTTATCTCAAATTCAATTCAAGCCTACCTATTTCTGAATATAGTTGTAACACACTCTTTGGACTGATTTCTCTTTAGGCCCTTGAGCAAAACACGGTCACAAGGTATACACAGCAATTCAAAAGCAGGACTGGAAAAAATTAAACCCGGAAGGAAATATGTCTAACACTTTCCATTATGCCAAAAGTCAGGATTGTCATTTTTTGGAAATGAATTAGGTTGAGCTACGATGACGCTGACACTATACAACTGTTTTTGACCTGCAAAAACGGAAATTTCAAATGGTTCAACCTAATATTATTTTCTAAGCTCATTTTAATAATTGTCTCAAATTAAGGTCTTCACAACCCAAGGCACATAAAACCTTGTATTTCTCTAGATTACCTTAACCTTTGGAAAGATCTGCCACCCCACTGTCCAAAGCTGGTCATTTGAAAAATTAAGTCTATTAGCAAGAAAGCCAAGATGAAAAACACACACACAAACACAAAACCACCAAACTGCTGAATGTAACTGTGCTTGCAGGAACCCTAAAGCCATTCCACATCTTTTTTATGGCTCTCCTTTCCCACTAACAGAATTTGAGTCCTAAGTAGATCTGCCCTTTAGAAGACTTCCATTTAAGGAGAAACTAGTGAAAATTTAAGTGCTTTGCATCTTTTTCACTTATCAGTGATACAAGAATCTAAGCACAGTAGATGCCCATCACTTTACACTGGGGTTCCACTGACCTAAAAATCTATCCTTGAGGAATTTCTGCTGGAGAATCTGGCTTCTAACCTTTCTAATCTAAAAGGTGATCATCATCCCAGTGGGATTATTCTGCCATTTGGATATGGATGATTTATGTACAAACAACAGAAATAACCCCCATCACTTATGGCTCCAAGACTGCATCTAGGTCCAAATCTATCATTTCACACCCATTGTTATTAAGTCTGATATCCAATATGCTAATGACCTCTTTTCTCAATTCGTTCCACTAATTACACACCTGTTCTTGTTCTGCCAAAATTCCTATCTCCTCATCTGATCCATCAGGCCACACACTGTACTCTCCTAGAGGGATGCTTTTTCCTTAGATACTTCATAAACTGTTAGGGCAATCTGATGTTGCCTGTTCTACCTCCCCAGATCTAGTTTATAGTACAAATCATCAATATTCACGATCAAGTGAAATATGCTCTAAAAAAAAACAGGAGAGAATCTCCTGCTCGATCTGGAAATTTCTCTATTCAGCTAGTTCAGTGTTGACAGGTCAACAGAGAATGGCACTAGTCATTACTACAATCCTAAAGAGCATTCCCCTAGAGTTAAATCATCAACCCTTTCCTAACATCCGAATGACCCAGACTTTTTAGAGCAGAATTTACTCTCCTTGCCCCAGCTCCAACGGCATCTTCTGGTCATTTTTTCACCCTGAACTGAAGTTTTCTCTAGAGCCCATGGTGATGCCATGTCAGGCAAATACATTCTTTAAACTTTCCATCTACTCCCTTCTTTCTCAAAAGTTATATATAATAGCTGCTTTAAAAAACAAAACAAAACTCCCTATGCATCGAATGTGCTTTAAAAGGGAATTCATCTATTTCCTTAAACCCTATGAGGTTAGGATTAGTACTCCCATTTTACAGAGGAGAAAAGCTGAGGCTTAGTAACTTGCCCAAGGTCATAAAGGGCAGGGATTTGAATCCAAGTCTGACCTCAGTGTCCTCTAACCTTAACCCTCATGCTGTATTTCCTTCCAGTCTCTTTCTTCATGTCCTAAATGTCTGCTCAGTGGTCTTACAAAGTCTATGGGCAGTGTTCAGTTTCCCCAGAGACTGTCTTGCCTTTAAAGGACATGCCTTTGAGAAGAATGAGTACCCATTCCATTTTTTCTCCATGCTCCTCCTTCCCACCTGGCACCATTTCCCCAAGGCTCTTATCACAAATCCTCCTCTAGGGCCAATTTACATGTCCTCTCGGTCCCTGAGCAGGAACCATAGGATACTGAAGGGCCACCTTCTACCTCAAGACTAGGAGAGGGCAGCAGTGAAAGCGTGGGAAGATCCAGACAGCACCCTCTCCCCAAGTCTTCATTCAAGGAGGAAACTGTGGCCGAGGACCGGAGGAGGGCGGGGGGAGAATTTGGGGAAGGAAAAGAGGTACAGGGGCGGAGGTAACAACAAGGGTGTGTGCCCTTGGGGGAGGAGGGAGGAGACCGAGATGGGGAGGCGACGTGGGAAACTCAGGGGTTAGACTGAATGGGGGGTGGACCTCCATAAGAGGGGGGTGTCACCCGCTGAGAAACGGGGCCACTAGGAGAAGGAGAATGTGTATGCTGGGGAGGAGGACCTGGAGGTGGATGTAACAGGAAAGTGGAGGGAAGAAAGGGTAGGGAGGGGGAGCAGGAAACGGTGAACTCAACCGGGAGGAAAGGGGAAGGATGGATGCGAACCGGGGAGGCGGGGCGCCTCGATACCCGAGCCCCTGGGCTCGGCTAGGAGAAGCGGGCGGGCGGAGGGGGTTCGGGGTCCGCGGAATGCCGGGAGCCGGGGCCTCGGGAGACCCCGGGGGAGGAGGAGCGGGAGTTCTCGAGCCGAGGAGCCGGAAGGGGGGCTCGAGGGGGGCAAGGGCGGGAAAGGGGGCGTCCCGGGACGGGGGGGTGGGGATGGAGGTACCGTCGGGTTCGCCAGGGGATGGGGTTAGGAGGGCCGGGGGTGCGTGGGAGGCTGGCGGGGGATATGGGTTCCCGGGACCGTCGGGGTGCAGAGGGCGGGAATGTCCTGGCGTCCCCCGAGGGCCGGGCGTGGGGTCTCCCGAGAGTCGAGCCGGGGTCCCCGCAGTCTTCTGAGGGCCAGGCTCGGGGTGGTCTCGGGCCGGGGTCCTCTGAGGGCCTGAGTCCCATCAGGGTGGGGCGGGGGAGGGGTTCCCGGGATCCCCCCCGAGGCCGGAGCGGCACCCCCCCAGGCCCCCAGGCCCCCTTCCTACCTATGCCGGGCGCCACATAGACGAAGTAGAGCAGCGAGGACGAGAGCGAGAAGAAGAAGAGCGCGGCCAGCAACGAGCGGCGCGGCAGCCGCAGCAGCCCCCGGCGGACGCGCATGCTGCAGCCGGGCGGCCGCTGGAGAGTCGGGCCGGGCCTGCTCCC